ACTTGCACCGTGTCCCGCACGCCAGCGTCCGCCGACCCCGTCTCGCCTAATCCTTCCGCGCATAGGCTTTGCGCGTCTGTCGCCCAATCGTGCGCCAATGCGCGCGCCCAGCTGCCGTCGCCTTTCCTCATGCGCGTGTACGTCCCGCTCTCCTAGTCCCGTGCGGACTGGGCCTTGTCCGTCCGCGCACGCGTCGTCCATCGCGCACTCCCGCTGGTCGCTGACTTCTCTCCGCGCGTGCACCCCCTCGCTCGACACTCCTAAGCCCACTCGCGCGCTCCCGCCCGTGCGCCCTCGCTGTCGGCCCGTTCGCGCGCGTCCTCGCCAATTGCGCGGTTGCTGGCCACGCTCGATGCTCCCGCATCCTTCCCGCGCTCGCATGCCCGCTCGCGCGTACCATCGACGCCCGTGCCCCGATCGCCTATCGCGCACCCGTGTACACCTGCGGTTCCTCGCGTCTCGCCGACCCCCGCAGCCTGCCTTCTTCCTGCGCATGGTCGCGCGTCACTTGCGTCCAACATCTCAGCGCCGCCCCTCCGCTCAGCGCCTCGGCCCTTCGACCTCTTGCGCGCATCACCGCACGATGCGCGCCATACGCCCGATAGCCGGTCCTCATCGATCCCTTTGTCTCCTGACGGCCATGGGTCCCAACCATCCAACCCAATGCAGTCACCTGCACGCCATATCCAGCCATTTTCCATACCTAGCCTTCCCCGCCTTTCGAACTCCGTGTGCCACGTCCGTTTCTTCCTTGTGCACGGCCCACAACATCGGCTCGCCTTTTGCGCCCTTGTTTTGCATCGTCTTTTGGCCCGACACTTCTTAACCTTCAACTTGGCCCGTGGACCACAACCTCTTGGCCAATCTCGTATACATGATGGCCGGTATATTGGGCTAGATGGCTCCTCGAGCATGTTCTCCAGCCAAATATCGAGTCCATCGCCATCCTCATCGTCTGACTCACCGGGGTTGATGACCACTTCCGTATCATTCCCCTCCTCTTCAAGAATTTCCTTGTCCTCAAGGATTAGAAAATTAAGCGCACCATCATCTCCATGGTTCAGAACTTCACCCATCATTGCTCCTTGCCCTTCCATGAGTTGTCGCTCGTATGCTTCTCGATTTCTTCGTTCATGGAGCTCGTCTAGATATGTGCTCTCCCATGGGGTAAGTTCTCTCTCCAAACTCTCCAATAATTCGAGATCTTCCCAATCCATCTCGTCCATTGGCACATAAGACATTTTTTTTTTAAGACTCTAAAAAAAAATTCAAAAAAAGAAGAAGAAGAATTCGAACAAAATTCGAATCTAGGGGAGGAAAAAATAACAAAAGACTAGATGACACTTTTTTTTTTTGATACTATCGAAATTTCGAAAAATTTCGAACAAAAGACACCAAAAAAAATCGAACAAAAAAAGAAAAAGAATGGGATAGGAAAAGTTCACGAACACCAA